ATGAAACAAATTGAACAGAAAATTTTGCAACTGCTTGCACAAATTAATTTTTACAATGCAATATAACAATTAAAATAAAACTATTCAGTCTAAAAGATTAAACAGCACTACTACAATTACATTATTACACGTGGACATAGATTATCAATACTATTATCAATAGATAGTTTGCCACTCCCATATGGAAAAATATTTATACAGACGATATTGGAACAATGCCTAACAGAAGAAGCGACTGTCGTTTGTGTCAAATTCTCTTCCGCGATTTTCATTATTTTTCTCCACGCTTTTGACCGATTTGCAGCGTGAATAACTTATGCTTATCGTTTGAGTGAGAAACGCAATTATATTATATTAGCAACAAATCGAAACCTTTAGTTTTTTCAGTGTTAATATATTTGGGAAAACATTTACCGGAAGAAAATTTTCCATTGCGTAAGTGGCAAACAGCAGGCGGTTTTATTTCTTATAAGTAACCATTTATTGCATTGGTAAACTTGAATATTCTTCAGATTAAACAAGAAATTACTCATATCAATATGCATTCCTTTTATTTTGTCGTCGTCTTCGTCAAACTGAGCAGCATTCAAACTACAGTAAGTTCATTTAAAGTTAGAAATACAATACAGCACTACAGGAAATTGAAGATTTCAAATTTTCAACACAGTGAGATTGATAACTTCATACAATTTGAGGAGGCGCAAACAGAACAAACAAAACCGCTAGATTTGTCAGTGCAGGGATTGAATGACCAACAAATGGAACCATTGCGGTTATTAGCCGAAGTGGCTGATAAAATGCCGAAAGTCGAAGTAGCTGTCAAAAATACAGATGAATCTGACAGTCAAAATTTAACAATCAAGATGAAGCTAACAGTCAAAGAAAAGACCGTTAAACGAAAAATTAGGGAGGAACTCATAGGAAAGAAACCGAAAACGAAGAAATCGCAGTGTATTATATGCCAAGAGAAGGTAACACATATGCAAAGGCATATGAGAATTCATGCTGGTAAGAAGCCTTGCAGTTGTCCAATATGCAAGAGAAGTTTCTCTCAACCACACCATGTGAAAAATCATATGAGAACTCATACTGGTGAGAAGCCGTACAGTTGTCCAAAATGCGATAAAAGTTTCTCTCAATCATCCAATATGAAGGTCCATATGAAAACTCATGACAGTAAGAAGCCGTACGGTTGTCTCAGATGCACCAAAAGCTTTTCTCATTTATCAGCTATGGAAAATCATATGAGAACTCATACCAATGAAAGG